ACATAAATGTACAAAGAAAACCTATACTTAGTTGAATTACTTATTCGAGCGCCGGTCGGAAGGGGAGAATTCCTGCCTAATCCGAAAAGATTTCCACGAAAGGATAATATTTCAGAACGCGGGCTTAGTTAAATATTTTACGAGTAAAATGCGTATGGATTATTAAAATATTTACAGGCTTATGTAATTTGTTCCTTTATACACTAGCTTTCGTCCGTGACTCCGTCCGCGTGGAATTAATAAAAAACAAAAGCAAGTATCCTATGTGTTCTTCCAGAATATCCTCTACATCTATACCAAATTTTAGTAGTTTTGTATGAATATCAAAATTTAGTATGATTACGAAGATATGAAATATGTTAAATCTTTAATGTATTCTATTCTAATAAAGAAACAGTCGTTCAGAAATATCTTTATCTCACTCATTATCATTGAAAAATCTGAGATAACAATATAGTTCTACACCGGTAATTAGATAGTATAGGAACAGGGCTATTTGTAATTTTACTAATATCATAAATGCGTTTAAATAATTGGATGGATGTTTGTTAGAGTTTGTAGCCTAAACTGCTGAACGGATCTCCATTAAATTTAGCACAGATGTAGTGGATAGTCTGGGAAGAATACATAGGCTAATTACTTTTTTTACTAATACCACGCGGACGGAGCCGCGAGTGAAAACTCGTACAACATAATGTAAACAGGCACCGTTGCGGTCCTTTGAGTGACATAAACATGTCCCCTACAGATGCATGTGACACGTTTGCCGCACGCCCCAGTTAGCGCGTGTGTAACTGCCTTTATGAATTTGCACTACGGGGCACTACACTAACTTCAAAACAAAGAAATATATTTACATGCACGTGGAAATGTTTTATGTAGACTGTTGAGAATTTTGTTGCATTTCCAGACGAAAATGTTAAATATAACTCTAATACATTTTGCTCCCGATTCTGTGGATTTAAAAAAAAGTAATTAGTTCGACATCTATGCCAAGTTTCGTCCAGACCCGTTCAGTCGTTTCGATTACCAACTCTAACAAACATCCATCCATCTAAACTTTCGCATTTATAATATCAGTATGATTTAATTGTGAAATGGTCCCACTGGAGGTAACGGTAGTCCTATAAAGAAGGTTTTTGTTAATTTTTCAATGATTTTAAAGTCATTAGTGTTAAGAAGAAAATTAGTACCGTGCTCTAGAATTGATGCAGCACTAGATTGTCGGCATAAACGTCACGTCCCTAACTGACAGCTGTCAATGTCATTAAAAGGATTGGAACATTGTTAAATTAATATCGAGATAAGATAATCGCAACAATCTAGGAATCTCAAACATAACCTTTAAATTACTTAAAAATATAATACCAGTTACTACAACACGGTTTTTTCTTTTGTTTTAGGAAGAAAACATAGCGCTCCGTCTTATCAAACAGCACGCGGATGTAGAAGAAACAGAAAGCAGTCCTGCGTCACCTGAGGACAATTATGGCACGGGTAGTACAGGCAAGACATACTTTGATGAAGGTGGCTACGTCTCCGGAGATAAGAGGGACAAAGACCCTTACGTACGGAATCGCTTCAACCAAGCCGCATCGGATAACCTACCTAGTAACAGAGCTGTTCCTGATACTAGAAACGCGATGTAAGTTTTATATTTAACAATTAGTTTTCGTCTGCGACTCCGTCTTCGTGAAATTAAAAAAAAAACAAAAGTGAGTAGCCCAAGTGTTCTTCCAGACTACGTTCTACATCTATGCCAAGTTTTATTCAGATCCGTTCAGCAGTTTAGGCTACGAACTCTAACTAACATCCATCCATCCATCTAAACTTTCACGTTTGCAATCTCCATCTATATCTATCTATACTAATATTATAAAGAGGTAAGATTTGTATTTTCGTATTCTTGTATGTAATGAAATAACTCCAAAACTACTGAGCCGATTTCAAAAATTCTTTCACCATTAGAAAGGTAAATGTGAGTAATATAGGCTATGTTTTTTATTATTACTTTATCGCGCGGTCTAAAACCTGTAATAATTAAGGTCTAATTTAAGTCCCTTTCTCTTTACCACCCTTTTCTTATAAGGAGAGGTTGGGAAGGGGAAGTGGATTTGACAGTGGAGGAGATGCA